CGGCTCCTTCCTGTCATCCTCCCCATCTCCTGCTTCCATCAAAGCTTCCTCTCCATCTGCAGGTTCTCCTTCTCCCTTTTCATCTTCATCACCACCCTCACTTCCCTCCTCAGCATCAATCTCATCTGAGATGGAAAAAACACAAACACATTCAGTGAAATCCAAAGTGGTTGTTGAAATAAAGAGCTCTGGAAACAAACAGCTCACCTTCACCAAGAAGCTCCTCCTCTTCTTCCTCCTCCTCCTCCTCCTCATCATCTGTGCTGTCCTCCTCTTCGCTCTGAGCTTCACCTCTTGGTTGGCTGAGAGTTGAAAGAAGTTTCTGATAGGCTGTTTTCTGCTCTGGTTCCTCCTCTTCTTCTTCTGGTTCCAGCTCATCAGCCTCTGACTCAGATTGTTCTGGACTTGACGGCTAAAAATTAAAAAAGGTAGCTCATGAGTCCATTTATTATCGCTGTGTTGATGCTGTTCATGATTATTGCTGCTCACTGAATGTGGCATCATCGCTTTGTGTATAATAGTGAATACTGAACCTAAATCTAACCTCAAAACTGGATCAAATGCGATGGTTTATGCAAGGATGGGGTGTCATAGATATTAAAAAAAAAGTATATTACAGATTAATTATTTTAAAAGTAACTATTTATTTACTCACTTTACTGTCTGAAGAAGGTAATTTGATACACGACATTACTTGTTCATTACTTCAGATGACCTGAGATGCTTGGAATGACAAATTAACAATGTAAACCTTAGGCTAAAGCAGCCACTCCCCAAGTCAAGAGTGTGCAGCCCACTTACTCTTGTTAAAAATGCAACAGAAATATTGTATTTCATTAAAACATGTACTCAGAACCCATAAACCAAACAGGCTTTAGGTTATACAGTCATACGCGAACACTAACGCAAGTGACCCACCTGCCACTGGGACACAAACTTACTTACTTATTAAATTTAGCCTTAGGTCACAGTAATGTCACAAACTACCACCTCATACTACCAGTTTTGTTTCCCTTTTTATATAAATAAATACATTTATACAAGTCTGTAACCGAACATACTAGTAAGTAATTTCAAACTGAATTTCTGTTATTACTCTGGCCCACCTACAGTTCGTTAGGCAGCCCACCAGGGGGGCCCTAGCCCACCCTTTGGGGATCAGTACTAAAAAGCTTTGATTTTGTTCCGTGGTCTTTTCTGTTACACTTCTTTGAAGACCACCACCTGGAGCGCATGCATAGCTGATCACAAAAAACAGGCAGGCATGCAGCCGCCCGCACGGACCCTCGGGCTTGCCGTGTTACAATAAAACTTAAATCAGTCTAACCTGAGAGGACTCATCAATGTGGAAAGCATAATCAAGGCTTTATTGGGAGACTCACACAAGACATTAAGTTTTAAAACAAGTCTGACAGCAGCGTTGGTAAAAACGAGCCCAAACTGATAAAATAAGACATTTTTAAATTTCATGTATTAGAGGAGCCAAAACAATAAATACCACCTATTATTACATACTTTAAGTAAAGCATTACAGTGCGATACAATGTAAAAAAGGAAAAACAAAGGCACAAAATGAAACAGAATTTTTTTCCCAAACTGTATTTATAGAATCATATACAGGAAGTTGGGGAGGAAAAGTAGACTTTGACAAGCCACACACTTTTTACAGCACTAAACTGTTTAGGACTTTCTACTCACCAGTTCCATTACTTGAGTTTTTTCAGGTCTTTCATTAACTCTGTAAAAAAAAAAAAAGACAGAGAGAAAAAGAGAGAGAAAATTAAATGAAGCTGCTCAGAAAACATGTTTGTAAAAATATTGAAATTATTAGGACAAAGTAAAGCTTTATACTAGTTTTACAACAATGATTACTAATCTGCCACTTATTGTAACCAGTAAGTGCAGTTTATTATATATATATATATATTAACGCATTGTTCTTTTGGCCTGCACCGCTGCATATGTAGATCAGAGATGGCACCAGAGCTGACCCACCAAAGGATAGAATTCAACCCACTGGATGGCTTTCAGAATTACATGTAAAAACAGCAGTCTGACAGCTCCCACAAGATGTGAGCTCCTCCTGCCGTCCGCATGGAGTCTTATTCACAGTTTAGGCAGAAAATAAACGAGGTCATCATTTAGCGCTTTAGCGGTGCTCCACCAGTTTCTAATCACACGGAGGAGCAGATAGCAGTGCTGTACCGGTGCCGATGCCTTTCTGCGGCTCTGTCCAGCTCTCCTTGTGTAACAGCCCATCTCCTGAGCTACCAGTAGAAAAAAGTACCACCAAATGCAAACCTATAGAACGATCAGCCAGGAGGTATTAGAAGCGACGTTGTGCTGTTGTTGCCTCTCCGGCGTACCTGCGTCACTTTCCCCAGGGCAGAAGAAACGGTTCTTACTGAAGTTAAAGTGTTAAAGTGTCCCCTTAAAATGCGCCATTCTTCTTCTCTTGTTTCGGCTTTACTAGGGGCTTAACTCACTGATAGTTTCTAATATTAAAAATCCATGTCATCAGGTAAACATCAGCACATTGCCCTACTTAGAAAAAGTAAATTTAAGATGTTTGCTACATTTCTGTTTGTACTTTACACCGAGATAATACGGGAAAAACTACAGTTACATTTAAAAAATGGAATGAAAAACTAGAAATTAGCAGCCTTGCTAATATAAAGCAGCTTCTTCCTTTAAACCAGACCGGAAGTTGCTGTCGTTCTGCTTACACATCGTGAAAAGGATGTTCCTCTCCAAACTCCTTCAAGTGCTTCTTCTGTTTTTTGGATAAAGTAGTTAGAAACTGCTTATTTTGTTTTCTTTTGCCCATGTTGACACTCTGGTGCAGGAACACGTGTGAGGTCTGCTTCTTCCTCCTCTTGCTGTGCGCCAGCAGCGGGCGCTTCCTGCCATCTACAGGAGCGGGGTGGAATTACAGGCTGGCGGATCGACATTTAGAGGGAACTTTATGATCCGTATATTTTATTTGGCCACGAATTTGCCCGATCCCTGCATTAGGATCAACATTAGGAAATGCACTCGCTAATGAGTTGCATGAGAAGAATGGAGAAGAACTTAACTAGTACATATTTTCCTTTGATCCTAGCAACACTTAAATGACTGGAAAGTTGTTTAGTACAATACAAAAAAAGCAAAACAAAAAACAAAACCCTCACAAACACCTGATTGATGAAAAACATGGTTAGGTATAAAAACAACCTGCCAGAGAGGCTTTCAGAGGCAAAGATGAGAATTTTGTTACCATTGATAGTTTAAAGACAAGCAGCTACATTCTCAGAAAAAAATAAAAATAAAACTGCAGTTCCTGCTGTGGCCACTTGAGGCTGGCTCGAAAAGTCGGTGAATCGCCACAGATTCTAATTCTAAAATAATCAACTTTATAGTCGATATAAACATGATTACAGCCGAATAATAATAATAATAATAATAATAATAATAATAATAATAATAATAATAATAATAATAATAATAATAATAATAATAAAATAATCCTGGTCTCTGTGGATAGCTTCCCATCTTATTTAATAATAACATAACATAAAAAAACTCACCATCTTCAAATCAAATCAGTTTATTTCTATAGCACATTTTAAAAGATTAGTGTAGATCAAAGTGCTTCACAATAATACCGCAATGCGGGCAGAAACAAGAAACAAATAGTACAATTTCAATTAAAATGTACAATTACATGGTGTAGTGCAGGCCAAGTGAAAGTCAAACTAATTTGCTTCAAAAGCTAAGTTGAACAGGTGGGCTTTTACAATTGAAACAATTGAATAGATTCCGATGTACGGATATCAACTAGGAGATTATTCCAGAGTCTAGATGCAGCAATAGCAAAGGCACGGTCACCTCTGGCTTTTAAACGAGACCTTGGTTGTATTAGGAGCAGTTGGCTGGAGGATCTTCGTGCTCTTTTTGGGTTATACAGGTCAAGGAGATCAGTTAAGTACCCACTAGCTAACTTGATGGTGGTAAGGCTTAAAGTTTTGCCTCTGGCTCTGTTCATTACTTTGTGTGACTTAACTGAACCTACTGTGTTTTACTCTGACAAATAAAATAGCCTGCTGCAAAGTGCAGAGGTTGCAAAAAGTTGGAAATAAAACTAGGACAAGACACAAAGGAAAAGTCAACCTTCAAAATAAAACACGAAGTAACTAAAAGGCAAACAACACTGAAACTGAAAACAAAGAAACACAACAAAACAAGCTATCACAACAAGAACCAAAATACAAAGCAATAACCTTCCACACTGACTGAAAGGACACACAGTGTATTTATGAGCATGTCATGATTTGTCATGACTCCCACTGCTGACTTGTATCAGTGGAAGCGTGAGTTACAATACAGTGGTCCTTTTCCAGGTGTAGGGAGGGGGATGAGACAGGGGTTAATCCTAGTGGTCCAGATTTTTCCAAGAAAATATTTATGAGATGAATTGAAAGAGTGAGCTTACTGAGGTTCCAGCGGAGAGGCTCTCTGGAGAACCACCAGCCGTCATGCCATTTGTTCTTTCTTCATCTTGATCATGTCTACATGCCTAAATGCACTGAGCTGCTGCCATGTGATTAGCTGATTGGATATTTGTGAGCAGTTGAACAGATGCATATAATAAAGTGGCCAACACAGAAAAGAACAATCTGCCTACTTTGGTTTTCGAGTCTGCGCTCTCGTGATAACCTCGGGGTCAGACAAACAAAACGGGGGCCACAGAAAAGGTCACCGGAGGTTGTCTGGTGTTTCCTGGGTAATTCATCCTTGTTGCTGGCCCAGTCGACCATAAAGGATCACACACTTCTGTAGCTGTTTGAAAACTAACCTTGATTAATTATTGAACATGGTAATATCAGTTTACTGTTTACCTGTTTTAGCGGTTACCATGGCAGAAGCTCATTAATTATTAACCATCTGGGTGTCTAGTTTTTGTACTCAGCTCATTTTGACACATCAATGAGGATATTATTGTTTGATAATTGCGCAGCACTGAGAGAGCGCGTCTGGCTTTTCTGAATGGGATGTAAAACATGTGAGACATTCTTGTATTTCAATGGAGAGGCCAAAACTGAAACAGGAGAACGAGAAGGCTGGGAAAACAGTCAGGTTTAGAGTAGCGTCTGCCAACAGTGGCCGGGTCTTGGCGGAGGTGTTCAAGGATGAGAGAGCCTGGTGCGGCTTGGTGGAGGACTCGGTGGAGGACTCGGTGGAGTCTGACTCGATCAGCAGCCCAGAGGCAGAGCAGCAGGGCGGCTCTCTCCCCACCAGCGAGGCCAACCGCCACCTGAACGGTTTGGTGGTGGAAGCAGCCGTGGACGAGAACGGCTGTGAACCCGATGACCTGCTTTTGTACGCCAGTGCCAAGAGAGAGATGCTGTTTAGCAACAAGCGGATCAATATATGCAGCAAGAATGGGACCGTGAGAGGAGTGAGGAACAAAGTGAGCGCAGGCCAAGTGCTTTTCAACAACCTCTCCAACATGTACTCCGTAAGTAGCTGAGTGCATCATCAGAAACAATTTTAAATAAAGCTTTATCCTCTTTTATTAACATGTATGAAGTCAGACTGAAAGGTTATGGAATATATCTGATCATGAAGAGATTTTCATGCACTCATAACCCTTTTTTCCTTTTCCTTTTAGGGTTCCCTTCGTCACCAGAAAAGGAGACCCTGGGAAAAGTAGTGAACAGCGTGGGATTTCACACCGTGGGCACATCAGGGAGGAGCAGTCCTGAGGAAGAAGATTGTCTTACAGCTTTGCCTCCACCCTGAATCCCTTTCAGTGACTTCTGTTTCTTCACGTGACGTGGAGTCATTCACGATCCCAGCCTCATATTTACATGTGCCTTCAGGATATTTTTGACCACAAATATTTTTGATTTGACTTCTTGTATTACTTTTCACAGCTGTTTATGGGCAGCTAGGAAACTAAACTGGATAGAGTTAATATATGTACAGACATTGAACACTACAGACGTTTATTTTATTGCAATTTGGAATTTATTGGGGTTTATTTCATTACAACTTGTTGAAAGTAACAACCTGTCCACATATGATTCTGTCAAACAAATCTTAAGTTTTAAAAGTTTTCTGGTTTACTGACAGAGAAAAAATGTTTTGTGTGAAGAAACAAAGAAGGATTGTCCAATTAAATGCGATTTTGTTCATACAATTTCATTTTTAACTCCTTTTTGCATTGAAAATGGAAAAAGTGATTGTTGAGGATTAAAAGAAAGTTTTAGTAGAGATTGATGCTTTGTTTGAATCCACCCTGTGGCCTTTCTTTGCATGTTCTCCCCGAGTCTCTGTGGGTTATTGACTGTAGGCGTGATAGTGAGGATGGTTCTATGTCTCTGTGTTAGCCCTGCGGCAGACTGGCGACCTGTCCGGGGACCCCACATGCCTTCGAATCGAATATGAGCAGAATAAAATGGATGGATGAACAGCCCTTCAAAAATGTTCCACAATTTAAGATTTAAACCAAACAGCTGATAAACAATTTTACTCACTGCTCTGGGATTTAGAGAGTTTCTGAGAAGTAAATTGTATTTTTTAAATTGTGAGTTTATTTGTGCCCTAGAATCTGACACGATTTTGATATTTCATGGAGTCTTTCATGAATGAATAGGTCTTTTCTGTTTGTAAAGATTTTGCATTCATTTCTAGATTGAATGTGCTTCATATCATCTCTGAGACCAGATTCACACAAATACAGTGAACTGTAAATATAAAAGCCTTTATAATAGTTAAATGCATTTTCATACTGCAGGTTTTATGCTTGACAGTTTCTGGAAACCCTTGTTAACTAGATTTATTTTAGACTTATCAAGATTTTTGAAAACATTTGACATAATATATCATTTGCAACATAACTGATGTTACTGGTGGAATTCATGTTTAAAATTAAACAGGCAAATCAGTAAAAATGTATCTTTTACCAACTCTTTGTACTTCACTGCTCAGCAGGAAAACTTCTAGAGTTTCCAGACACAAGGAAACATGACTGTCAAAAATAACACAGGAGGCAACTAAACACAAAGGAAATGTTAAGAAAATTAAGAGTCTAAAATAAGTAACCTAAAGCAGAATCCTAAATGAAATAAGCTGAAAGTTTCAACCAAAAAATAAATATTAAATAAAATAATTAACAAAAATCCACAAACTGAAGAAACCCAAAACTTCTTTGCGGCTTTGTGTTTTCGTGGGTTTTATACTTTTGCTGATGTAACGGACTCTTTAATAAAGATGAAAACATGACTATAAATATCCAGAGGGCTGATTAGGGAATAGAAACAGAAGAGGAGGAAATAAAACTCAAAAGAAGCGAGAAGAGGAAACTATCAATTAGAAAAAAGGAAATGACCAAACAAGGAGACATGAAACAAACATTCTAAATATTATTGAACTATTTCAGGAAGGAACATGGTAGGAAAACATCATACAGACCTACACAGGGAGAAGACAAAACAAGATTTGTTATAATCGTCACGGGTAATGGGAAAATACAGACTCAGTCGTGGAGCTCTGAATGCAAAGTACACAGTGCGTTTATTTACAGTGCCCAAAAACAGTTTCAAAACACAAAGTGAAGTGCAAAGTCCAACAGTGATCTTCTCCAAACTCCCAGTGGTGCGCAGGTGAGTTTCCAAAGTGATTATCCGAGTGTGCGTTCCAATAGCTTAATCCCACGGGCTCCTTCTCTCCAACCTCCAGCTCTGCATCTCTTCCTCCTACAAACGAGCAAAAACAACAGGTGAGGAGGCTAGCCGGCTAAAGCTAAGCTGCAAGTCACAAAACACTCTTTACTACCGCGCTTCAAGTACAATCCAGCGTCGACTGCCATCTGGACAACCAGTTAAATACCTCAGCCCACAACGAAGGATGATCAGTGACAGCTGGGTGGCAAATTAGGTGCAGGTGTGTCAGGTGGAGGAGGAGGAGGAGAGAGAGAGAAACACACAAATACACACACAGGCAGGTCACCCCGGGAAGGACCGTCCGACCATGACAATAATGGTGGAAAACAAAAACACAGAAATCTGAAATTCACAGGATCAAAACCAAAAAACTCAACATAAGAGAACTGGAAAATCATAAAGTTAAAAACAGGAAACAAAGACTTGATGATGTCTTAAACTCACTGGCAGAATGATAATAAATTTAAAAAAAAAAAAGAGTTTTAAAAATAAGAATTCAAATGTATTAAGAATGGAAAAACTCTCAAAGAACACAAAAGCCCAAGACCGTGACTAAAAACCCCAAAACCCCAAAACGTAAAAAAAATAATAAAAAAAATAAAAAAATCCTCCACAACAGCACTGAAGTCAAAAGTCATGAATATGGAACAAAACCCTGGGACCATGACACCTTGACCAAGCGGATGAGCCGGCATATCGACAAGGAACCTTTAAGTGTCACCGGATTACTCAGTTAAAGCGAAAATCTCTGTTTTTCCTTCCCTGCATTGAAAATCAGCGGAGCTGCACATTTTAAGACTCGCTTATGGTCGGACTTTCCCTTTAAGTGATTTATGCAACAGCATCTCCTGGTACCTCAGTCTACCTCAGTCAGCACCATGGACAGCGACCCCGCCAGCTCTGCGGCCGCCTCCTGCGCACCCAGCGGGCCCCGAGGGGCAGGGCACGCTCCTTCAGTAACGACGACCAGCTAATATCTCCCATCATGTTACTGCGGCACTGACAGCTGAACCGTAGAAAGCAGGATGCGGGATTTCCCATAGAAACACCCTCGCGTATTGTTTTTCTTGTCTTAACCCGTTTCCCAGCAGCTGGAAGGTACAGATGCTCTTTGTTGGCCGATCACCGGCTGTAAATGCCTCTAAACGACAGCAGATGTGACGAGTCTCATTTGAGGGTCGCTGTGGAGCAAAGGTGGTGAAATCTCTCGCTCTTCCTCCTCCTTCACGCCCTGTCATCACTACCAGTAGCTGCCCAGCACCATGTCTTCTCCACCATCGGCTGCGACAGCGAGTGAAAGCAGCACCACCACCGTTTTCGAGGAGGACACCAGAGAGGAGGTAGAATTTTCTGGCAATTCTTTTTTTTTCTTTTTCTTTTTTCTTACTCTCTCTGTGTTGTTGATTTTTATTGTGTCCGCGCGCGTGCTGTGCAGGCTGTGACACGCTGCAGGTGGATGATCTGACAGGTGTCATCGGTGTAAACTTGGACACGGGAGTGCGTGAGGCAGTGGCGATTCACTCTGCTTATCCTCCTGTTTATTTAGTATTCCACTTAAGCTTCAATTTTATTTATTAATTTGTTCATTTTATTTAAAACATGTTTTAAGTAATGTTTTCTCACAGCTTCTCGTTTTTATGAATTATTTTTGAGAAATAGAAATAAATGAAATGAGAGAAAATGTAGATCAAAAAGGGTAAATATAAATACTTTTAATTTCCTATTTTGTTTTTTACAAAAAGAATTACAAAACAAATGACAGCATATTAATGTCTGTTCTCTTCAACCAAATTAATGCCTGCTTTTATGTATGTTAACTTTAAATCATAGTTTTATGACTCAAATTGAGCCATTTTTGTCCTCCATACCATGAAACTTGTCTTTACAGCAAGTACATATAGAAATACTTGTCATGTTCCTCATTTGAAACATGAAGTTTAGAGTTTTTTGAACTTTGAATTCTTCATTATTAATCTCTGTTTTTTTTTTCTTACATTGTAGGTTTATTGTGTTTTACTGTAACACCTCTGTGGCCAATTTCATTCTTTTCTAGTTTGTGTTTAGAGTCATGTTTGAGTCTTTGCTTGTTCCAGACTTCCTCTTCATCCTCTTGTATATTTTTGCCAAGTCTATTCTTGTTGCCTTTTGTGCCTTGCTTTTTAGTTTTTCTTTACCTTTACTATTCACACAGGACCACGCTCAAGTTTATTTTTTGCTTAATTTTGATTGGCTTTCAAATAAAATTATATCTCATTGTTTTCACTGCCTTAATGAATTGTAAACCTACAAGGATTTCTGTTTTTTCCCCCTGTATTTTCTGTGCTATATAAATAAAATCGCCTTTATTTTTCTTAGCTCGTTATCTAGATTCTGTTAACATGTGCCCAGTTTCTGCCCAGCTGTGCTCACTCCCCCTGATTAGCCCTGATTAGTGTTTTTACCCTGTAAGATACCATTGCATTACTCTGGCCAGACTGTTGTTAAGTTTGTTTGAACTTTGGACTTTTGAAGTTTGCCTACCATGCCTGGAGTAAAAGTAGGTTTTACACCTGCCAGACTCATAATCCTGCATTTCAGTCCTAAACTCTGCAATGTTGTGCAGTCTGAATGAAAATACAAACTGTTCTTTAAAAAAGCAAACCTCTCCTTCCAAAGTTGCATAATGCAGGCTGGATTAGTATTTGCAAAATGCTGAATTTTGTCCATGGGACCTGAGGACTTGTACAATACACCATGAGATTGTGGATACTAAGAGTTTAGGTGGTTATAGGATTATAAATATGTCCTGATCAGTTTTTAAAATGTTTCTTCTTATGTTTGTTCTTTCACTCAACAGCAAAGACCGCTGAAGCAATCTCTAAGCAAGTCCTTATGTCGGGAGAGTTTCTGGAAATGCCTACTCCTGTCCGTTCTCATGTATGGCTGCATGGGAGCCATGGTTTGGTGTCACATCACCAAAGTGACTCGTTTCACCTTCGACAGTGCCTTAAAAGGAAAATCCAAGATGTACCATGACAGCCCCTGTTCTGATGGCTACATCTACATCCCCTTGGCCCTACTGGGCATCCTCTATTTAGTCTACCTGTTGGAGTGCTGGCACTGTCACGTGAAGAATGAGTTGCTGCACAAAATGGACGTGGAGGGCATCTATGAGCACATCAAGAAGATGCAGCAGGCTAAGCCCTGCATCTGGTGGAAGGCCTTCAGCTATCACTATGTGCGCCGAACTCGACAAGTCACACGCTACCGCCGTTATACTTGCACCCAGGTTTACCATGAGCGCCTCGACTCCCACGTGGCAGAAGCAGAATTTGACTACAGCCACTGTGGTGTCAAAGATGTTTCAAAACAGCTGCTGGGCTTGGAGAAGTCTGTGCTTACAAAGATGCGCTTCACCAAGAGCTTCAGTTTTGCCAACGTAGAGTCCGAGAATTCCTATCTCACACAAAGGGCGAGGTTTTTCACCGACAACGAGGGCCTGGATGACTACATGGAAGCCAGAGAAGACATGAATCTGAAGAACAATGACCTGAAGGAGTATGTCTTGGTGCTCTGTGACCCAAAGCACCACCCTTGGTATCTGTCCCACTACGTCTTCTGGTTTGCCTCCTTCCTCACGTTCTCCTGGCCTCTCAGAGTCTTCACAGAGTATCGCACTGCATACGTCCACTATCGTGTTGAGAAGGTCTTCGGGCACGATTACCGACCTGTGTCGCCATGTGTTGATCGACGATACTGGTGTCGTATCCCTCGAGTTAAAAGCACTGATGTTACAGAACTGGAGTGGCACATTTGCTCCAACCAGCAGCTGCTTACCCAGAGGCTGACCTCATGGATCTGGCCCAGCGACCGTCCAACTTCAGCGAGATTCATCAGAACTGTGAGTGCTGCCACAGAGTCATCATCTGATCCTCAGTGTTCTTTAGAAGCCCCCTCAGCATCTGCACTTGTGCCAACATTCCTTTAAAGGATCCCAACATCACCAGAAAAAGAAATACTGGAAAAAAGCAGTAACCATTACTGGGTTTCAGACAGTGTGGTCATCAGGGAGGAGGAGCCCCAAAGGTGAAGACTTTGTTGTAGTTTTGTCACCGTCAAGAATCCTTTTCTGTAATTTTATGTTTCTTTAGCCTTCAGGTGACCTGTGTGGAGTCATTTATGACCCCAGCCTTATATTTATATGTGCCTTTGTGATATTTTTGACCATAGAACTATTTCTTGCCAGGATTTTTTCCACCTTCTTCTTATTTTATCGTTATAGGCTTTGATTTTATTGTGGTTTCTGACTTGTTGGTAATAATGTCATATTTACGAGTCCATTTTTGACCATTATTATTTTTAGATATTTTAGTAATCTGGGAATTTTAAGTGTTTCTGCTAAAAGAATCATATAACACATTAACACGCAGATTGAGTTTGAGCCTGGGAGTAACAAAAGATGAAAAACAAACCTCCTGACTGTGATAACTTCACTGTAATTTGTCGGTGATCAAAGTATTATTGAGTCACCATTTCATAGTTCGGTGTTAAATGATACATAATCTGCTTAAAAGTATATTACATATACTTACATACATATTTTTCTAGTGTTATTGAAACAAAGAAAATTTGTTTTGTGAGAAAAATCATAGGATTGTCTAAATAAAATGTCATTTTATTTGTGCAACTCCTCTTTGCAGTGAAAATAGTAATAGATGAGTTATTTGAGGGTTAAAATGAAGCCTATTTTACTAAAGACTGATGCTCAGTTACATTTATACAGTATCAAGTAAAGAAATAATGTACTGAAATGCTGTTATCAGTGCATTAAAGTACATTTTAATAGCACATTTAGTCATTTAGTAACACCACAACCCTTCCAAATGACCCATAAGATTTTCCAACATCCTGCTGAACTGATGTTCTCCTCGTTTCAGTAAAGAGAAATTAGAACCAAACAGCTGAACAGGCAGCTTTAGATCATACATAACGCAAACATTACTTTTGTTGTGAGTTGTAAGTTTAATTGTGACCCAGAATGTGATATAATTTTGATGTTTCATGTATCCCAATTATGTGAAGAAATGTGCTTTTTGGTAATAATGCCAGCATTAAATGTGCTTCATATCATGTATGACACATGACTCGCACACAGGATGAGCTCTACTTACAAATATCTTTATTAGACTTAAAGAAATAAGAGTTTTCATGCAGTAGATTTGATGCTTGATGGTTTCTGGAAACTTTTGCTCCCGTGTTCACTACATTTCTTGAACGCTTATTGAGGTTCTTGAAAACATTTTACACATTGTATAACAGATGTAACATTAGTAATGTGACTGATGGTATTCATATTTAAATTTAAATATGTAAATCAATAATAAAAAGTATTTTATTTTTACCATTTCTCTTTGATGACTCCAGAATAGAACAAAGAAACAGAAGTGAAAATAAAAGTGGGGAAAACCACATCAAAAAGACATAAATTAGTTAAACAGAAAAAAGAAATGCCCAGTAAAGATAAATTTAATGAAGCTGAATATACAAAAGTTGAGAAAAGCTACAAATGGAACTAATTTCTTTTCAAAGAATGTTTAATGTTTAGAGGGTCCTGGAAAAAAGTAGGTATACACTTATATACACTAGGTTATCTACAAAGAACAATGATTAAAAATGCACAGAATAATAGTGAAACATGACACAGAGGGAAACAATCACAAAGGAGGCAAAAGGCGGACACAACTACACACAGTAAAACAAGTAAATCAAGAAATAACCAAAGGAAAAATGAGACTGGACGAATAGACAGACACAGACACACTAAGGAAACAGAGGGTGTTTCAGTCTGTATAATAAAATCTACCTCATAACCCAGAATTAGAAAACCAAGACAAGGACCCAAAACACAACATCAGAAAACATCAGGTTGAATGTAGAAGTTAGGAGCCAAATACAAACACAGAAAGCAGAATATTTGTTTAACAAAAAAAAAAAATCACTAATCCAAGCCAATTATAGGTTAGAAAGAGGAGGGGAACAAGACACAGGTGAGGATAATCAGACAGAGAGACACAGGGGGAAACGGTCAAAGTATAACAGGAAATGAAATAATTAGATATGAAACATGTTGGAACTGTAATTAGGTCAAGTTGACAACTTCAAATACTGGAGTTTAATATCCTCAAACAACACAAAAAATAAAACACATCAACAGAATAACCATAAAAACAAAGCAGGAACCCAACTCAATTCAATTTTATTTATACAGAGACAAATCACAACAGGAGTTGCCTCAAGGCGCTTTATATTGCAATGTTGACCATACAATGATACAACAGCGAAAACCCCAACAATCACATGACTCCCTATGAGCAAGCGCATTGGTGACAGTGGTAAGGAAAAACCCCTGTTTAACAGGAAGAAACCTCCAGCAGAAGTAGGCAGAGGGGCGGCCATCTGACCGGTTTGGGTGAGGGGAGGAAGACAGGATAAAAGACATGCAGTGGAAGAGAGCCAGAGATTAATAACAAGTATGATTCAATGCAGAGAGGTCTGTTAACACATAGTGAGTGAGAAAGATGACTAAAGAAGAAGCACTCACTGCATCATGGGACTCCCCCAGCAGCCTACACCTATTGCAGCATAACTAAGGGAGGAGTCAAGGTCACCTCATCCAGCCCCCAAAATTAAAGCTTTAAGCCTTTGGAGATTGTGTCTGTCTCCTGAATCCAAACTGGAAGCTGGTTCCACAGAAGAGGGGCCTGAAAGCTTAAGGCTCTGCCTCCAATTCTACTTTTAAATACTTTAGAAACAACAAGCAAGCCTGCAGTTTGGAGGTCAAGGCAATGCAAACCAGGGCAAGTATCTTGTTAGAGGGCATATTACTAAGATTTTCAGGGCTGAGTACAATAACCTCAGTTTTAACTGAATTTATAAGCAGAAAATTAGTGGTCACCCAGGTCTTAGTGTCTTTAAGACATTCCTGCAGTTTAACAATTTGGGGTGTGTCATCTGCATAGCAGTGCAAATGTATACTGTCTTCTAATGATACTGCCTAAGGGAAGCATCAAATCAAATCAAATCACTTTTATTGTCACATCACATGTGCAGGTACATTGGTACAGCACATGTGAGTGAAATTCTTGTGTGCGAGCTTCACAAGCAACAGAGTTGTGCAAAATACAAGAATGTAAACAAGCAAAATACAAGAATGGCTACATCTGAAACTAATAAATATATGTACAATATATAATAGTATATGCATTTCTGGATGTGTATACTAAATATTTTTCTACGTGTGTGTGTGTGTGTGTGTGTGTGTGTACATATTTTACAAATTAAATAGAGTAAACAATAAATAAAATATATAAAAATAAAAATGTTTATGTAAACATAATTATACATGCTTCCCTTAGGCAGTATCATCAACAAACAACAAATCAACAAACAGGAGAATCCAAAACTTCAATAAAATCAGAAGTCATTCATATTAAGTAACCAGAGATCACAACGTCACAACAACACTACGAACAATTAAGCCGTCCAAAGAAAACCGTTGGTTAAGCCTAAAGAGTGACCAGATTACTTTGCTAAAGTAAAAATAACTTTATTTTTGCTCCATATGTTGATAATCAGTGAGGCGGCACATTTTAGGTCGGACTTTCCCTTTAAGTGATTTATGCAACAGCATCTCCCGGTACCTCAGTCTACCTCAGTCAGCACCATGGACAGCGACCCCGCCAGCTCTGCGGCCGCCTCCTGCGCACCCAGCGGGCCCCGAGGGGCAGGGCACGCTCCTTCAGTAACGACGACCAGCTAATATCTCCCATCATGTTACTGCGGCACTGACAGCTGAACCGTAGACAGCAGGAGGTGGGAGTTCCTGTTGAAACACCCTCGCGTATCGATTTTCGTTTCTTACGGAAGGTACAGATGCTCTTATTTTGTCTTTCACCGATCAGCCGGTCTCCGTCGGCTCAGCTCTAAATGCCTCTAAATGACACCAAATGTGACGAGTCTCATTTGAGGGTCGCTGTGGAGTAAAGGCGGTGAAATCTCTCGCTCTTCCTCCTCCTCCACGCCCTGTCATCACTACCAGTAGCTGCCCAGCACCATGTCTCCTCCAGCATCGGCTGCGACAGCGAGTGAAAGCAGCACCACCACCGTTTTCGAGGAGGACACCAGAGAGGAGGTAGAATTTTCTGGCAATCCTTTTTTTGGCACAGTAAATGGCTTTTGTTACGGTCTGTTTGTCAGAGCTTGTCGCGGAGCTTTAATTTGTCCATGTGCGTGCTGTACAGGCTGTGACACGCTGCAGGTGGATAATCTGACGGGAATTTGGTGTTACACATATGCCACTGTTCCACAGTCTGATATAGAAAGGAATTCTATAACCTTGTAGCATGCATTGATTATTTTAGAGGAAAACTGCAGGATATGTGATTGGGAATCAGCCAGCCAGCGTCTGTACCTGTTTTTCACCTCCCGTGTGCCGCAGCGGGCCTGTGAACCTGACCACGGACGGAATATCCTGTTATTCTTATTGTTTGCAGATTGATTTTCTTTGCACAGAAATGTCTGATCCGTGTGTGTTTGACCGTTTTGGTGATACTTTTATGCAAAACATCCACAGACGTTGCAGTTATCAGTCAGCAGAGATGCAGGTCAGCTGCAAACGAGACAGTGACCTAATAACATCCATCAGTTTGGCTGGGATCCGTTTAGGGTTAGAGTTAACATCCATTCTTTCTTAAGGAATTTTCATCCAATGCAATAATTACATAATTGCAAGCCCAAATGCATGGATGCTCACAGAAATGAAAACACAAATTTCTGCCCCTAAAAGTATAATCAACACACATCTGCACCCATTAAGCTAATTATTAGACTTCAAGATAACTATATACCTTTTTAAGGACCAAAGGGGTGCAGTACTGTTTAGTGGTTGGCCCCTCAATGGTTTCTTTTTCTATTTTTGAATGTCTCAGCTCACCAAATACATTTTAATATTAGACAAAAATAACCTGGCTAAATGCAAAACGCAGTAGTTTAGAGATGATGATTTTATTTATTAAGAAAAATAAGCTATCCAAACCTGCATAGCCTTGTGTGAAAACTAAATCTTATGGCTGGCTGTGCCAGCTTGGCAGAATCAAGCATTTGTGATAACTGGCAATGAGTTTTTCATATCACTGTGGAGAAATTTTGGCACTGTTGTTTTAATTCAGCCACATTGAAGGGTTGTTTGAGGTGGACTTGCTGGTCTGTTGCAAATCACTGTCATGCTGGATAACCCAACGGTGATGGAGTTTCAGGGCATGAAGTCATGGCCGGACATTCTCCTTCAGCTTTTCTTGTTCCATCAATTACAACAAGTCGCGTTAGTCCAGAGAATAATTTTCCCCAAAGTCTTGGGGATCATTAATGGGTTTTTTTGTGAATGTGAAACAAGTCCTTGTGTTTTCTCAGTGCTTTTCTCCTTGGGCTCTCTCAATTTTTCCCAGTCTCTTTCTTATTGTTGATTCATGACCTCTGATCTTAACTGAGGAAAGTGAGACCTGCAGTTATTTCGATTTTCTTTTGGATTCTTTTGTGACCTCCTGGATGAGTCGTCACTGGATGCTGGAGGTTATTTTGGTATGCTGGCCACTCCTGGGAAGGTTCACCACTGTTCCAAATTCTCTCTATTTATCAATAATGGTCTTCACCATGATTCACTGGAGTCCCAAAGCCTCAGAAATGACAATGTAACCATTTAAGACTCACACATGTCAATCATTTTTTTTCTCAGTTTCTTTAGATCGTGGCACAATGTGTTGCTTTTTTTCAACTTTTAGCCTACTTCACTTTGTTAGACAGGTTCTGTTTAAGTAAATTCTTGATGCGACAGGTTGGACAGTAATCAGGTCTGGGTGTGATGAATGAAATTTATCTCTTCTTTATGTCTTTTTTCTGTGTGTCTTACTTGGGTTATCTTTGTCTAATAATAAAATCAGATAATTTGAAACGTGCTAGTGTGACTGTTTCAGAACTAGGTGAAATATATAATTTACTCTTCCATTTTAAGATTTAAGGTTAAAGGTGCAGAATTGCAGAGGACTGTCACCTGTTCTCCCTGTTTCTGGGAGCCTTATGTGCACTTCTTGACACCAGATGTGCAAAGGGTGTAAAGAAGTCTCCCCGCACTCTGCACCTCAGAGGATGAAGCCTCAATGATAAACCTCTGTACCACTAAAAGTAAAAAGCAAAAAGGCACTTTTATTGTCTGAAAGTGTGTGGCAACATTTTCTATATCATGTAAGTGCTGCATACTTCATCTGACAATTTACATAATTATCTTGTTGTTCTTTTCAACCATAACCCCAGTGCTGCTTGCAAGGGTTTGTTGTTTATTTTGGTCTAATTATGCGAAAGATTGAACAATGTCGCAGTTATTAATCAGCAGCTGCAATCAAAGCATGCAAAAACACTGTAAAGCAGATCAACTGACAGGGGGCTACACAAAGGACTGACTGGGGGATCAAGACACAATTAGGAAACATGAAGGAGGAAAGAAGTGGAAAGGAAGGAAGGAAAAGCCACAATAATACACATGAGATAACTGAAAAAAGCACAAGCTGGCTAAAAGAGAAATAACTCACAGTGGCAACATAATTTATTTGTTGTCACACAAACCAGAAACACAAACCCAGCAGATACGGACGACGCCAGTCAGGTTCACTGAGGAACACAGTTAGAAATGATAAAGGCCAGGCTTTTACTTTATTTACACATTTTAATTTAATCAGAAATTCCTCTTTTCTAAAGCTTTTCGCCTACGATTAAAAAATTATTAACGTTTCTGATATTTAACCTAACAAAATTAGTCAGATAGCAAACGACCAAAACACAATCCTGCATTTGACAGCTACTGGTAGTCTGTGGTGTTTACATATGGAGGACTTAAACTTCAACATAATGTTACCGTATTGTGTGTGTATAACCTCTTTTTAAGTTTTGTGGATGTTATACATGGTTATGCTGAGGATATGTCGGCCAATTTCCACTGGAAATGCCTTTTGGTTAAACTGTCAGCAAGGAATTTGCACTGTTAAATTTTTATATGACTTTAATGCACATAAAAAACAGCTGCTTGTTTAAGTGAAAATACATCGATGGTTTTTTTTTTTTGCACTAATAAAGTTGTGGAGTTGTAAAGTATTTTGTCTAGTGTCAATTATATCGTCAGTTATATCGTTATTGCAAGTTTTCAAATGTATATCGTGATAAATATTTTTGGTCATATCGCCCTGCTCTACTGATCAGTTTTTAAAACGTTTCTTCTTATGTGTGCTTTCACTCAACAGCAAAGACCGCTGAAGCAATCTCTAAGCAAGTCCTTATGTCGGGAGAGTTTCTGGAAATGCCTACTCCTTTCTGTTCTCATGTATGGCTGCATGGGAACCATGGTTTGGTGTCACATCACCAAGGTGACCCGCCTCACCTTCGACAGCGACTTCAAAGGGAAATCCATGATGTATCATGACAGCCCTTGTTCTGATGGCTACATCTACATCCCCTTGGCCCTACTGGGCATGCTCTATTTAGTTTACCTAGTCGAGTGCTGGCACTGTCACGTGAAGAATGAGCTGCAGCACAAAGTGGACGTGGAGGGCATCTCCGAGCGCATCCAGAGGATGCAGCAGGCTAAGCCCTGCATCTGGTGGAAGGCCATCAGCTATCATTATGTGCGCCGAACTCGACAAGTCACGCGCTACCGCAACGGAGATGCCTACACGAGCACTCAGGTTTACCATGAGCGTGTCAACACCCACGTGGCAGAAGCAGAATTTGACTACAGCCACTGTGGTGTCAAAGATGTTTCCAAACAGCTGCTTGGCTTGGAGAAGTCTGCGTTGACAAAGATGCGCTTCACTAAGTGCTTCAGTTTTGCCAACGTGGAGTCCGAGAATTCTTATCTCACACAAAGGGCGAGGTTTTTCACCGACAATGAGGGCCTGGATGACTACATGGAAGCCAGAGAGGGCATGCACCTGAAAAACATTGAACTGAAGGAGTATGTCTTGGTGCTCTGTGACCCGGAGCACCACCCTTGGTATCTGTCCCACTACGTCTTTTGGTTTGCCTCCTTCCTCACGTTTTCTTGGCCTCTCAGAGTCTTCACAGAGTATCGCACTGCATATGTCCACTATCGTGTTGAAAAGCTCTTCGGTCACGATTACCTCCCTGTTACCCCTTGTGATGATCGGCCTTATTGGCGCCGTATCCCTCGAGTTAACACCATTGACAGCACAGAATTGGAGTGGCACATTCGCTCCAACCAGCAGCTGGTTCCCAGTTACTCAGAGGCTGGCCTCATGGACCTGGCCCAGTGCCCCTCCAGCTTCAGTGGGCTTCGTCAGAACTGCGAGCGCTGCCACAGAGCCATTAGCTGCTCCTCAGTGTTCTCCAGAAGCGCCCTCAGCATCTGCACCGGTGCCAGCTCCCGCATCCCCTTCAGCAGCAGCCGCTTCTCCTTGGCCCGGCGCTATGGCTCCCAGCGCAGCTGCTTCTGGAGGAGCGGCAGCCTAGACGACCAGGTGAGCCCCAGTGAAAATACTCGCTGCCTATCGGAACGCCTCACCACAGATGACGAGGAGCCCCCGGACTACGAGGATGCACTTTGTTACCCGGTGCTCATTGTCCACTGCAGTGAGAACTGCCACAACCACAGATCTTTCCACAGAAATGGCTCCTGCGTGGAGACCTCTTTATGATATGCAGTCACAGCGGCATTTCTGTAGCATTTCAAAAACAGGGCGTAGTGGATGCTGTAAGAAACAATTGCCTGAATCCTGAATGTGTGAATCACCAAAGCAATAACAGCGGTCAGTGAGTGGAGAACAAAGTGGCATCTCATGATAAGCTCACACACACAAACAAATCATATCTGCTTGGCTTCCAGGAAAAACCAAGAAGACGCAGACTGTTACAAAGCACACCATCGCTACAGCTTTTACAGTGCATGTGAAACTAAGGCTGCAGATACCTCATAGGAACTTTCTCAGAGGTCACACATGGACAGGTTTAAACATCTCACGTTCATTTAGTGAGTCATTATGGAGCAGCTTCTACAAATTTAACTTCTAACTACAGCAATAACTGTGAAAATAAATCTCAAATGGAGGATCGCCAGTTTGTGCTGGTGCACATCCCAAAGTGGAAACCTCTGACTTCAAGTGACAATTTAAATCTTGGACATTCTCACTTACTGTTAAACCATATCTGTAAATTCTTTTTAAATCATCTGTTTTTTCCTACATTATCCAGAATGCCTTTTATTAACTCCAGACAACAGGTATGACCTAAGGATGTTAGAAAGCGTGAGGCATTTGTTCAGACTGAGAGAAGTTCAGACTCATGCCCTACTAACAGCCGGTCCTGTGGTTTCGTTGCATCCTGGTGCATCTCTGCTTCTTTTTCTTCTTCTTTAGTGGATTTCTTTGTAATTGACTGTTGGGCGTTGGTGCTATGTGGCAGCTCCAGACTGTTGTGGATGTTGAGTGACTGACACATTAACATGATGTTTACAGTTGGTGCTTTCCTTCTAACCTCGGATGTAAATGTTGGAATTAACAGTTTGGCCATCTTGAAGAAAATAAGAGAGAAAACAGAATCAGGTGGACTTTTTTTTTTCCCTTTAGTGGCTTTAACATGCGATTAATTTGTCTTGACTGACCCAGAAAATGAAAAAATGTGGGCGCACTAACACTGTCTAGTCCTATGAGCCTTTACCTTGACAGACTAAAACGCATCATGAAAACTCAATCAAGCATTACGCATAAAATTGGACTTTTCTGCTGCCTACTGCCATGATGAAACCTGCCGGCAACTGTGGTACAAATACACATCATTACATCCATCATTGGGACATAAAAGATAGAGACTGGTTTATCACAGTACATGTGAGCAGGTGAGTGTGGATTTAGCTGCAAAAAAAGATCATAAGATCATCAAATCCATGCCTGTTTTCGCATGATTTCCTCCTGCTGAGACACCGTGGTAAAACCATATCCATGAATGTAAACCACCAGCATATACGATATACTCTGTACCATTATGTGTTGATAGTAAAGGAATAATGCTCCATTTTTCATCTGTAAAATGGTGATCTCGCTGTCCATGTACTGATATGCCACCATGTTACTGAAAGACTTTGGATGTTGTCATGTGGAGGATATGTGACTCTTCTGAGTTTACAGTTAGTATATGCAAGGATGTAAATGCGCTTATGTTTACACATTATACAAACTTTATAATACATGCTTTTTTTTTTAATATAAAAAATGTTGTATTCAATGTGCCACAACACAGCTTGTTCCCTATGGAGGACCAAAACAGCCAAAAATTTAAAATAAATTACTTTTTAAATAAATTCATATGCCATTAAATGCCTCTCAAATAGCACAAGTTACTTTAAGCATTAGTTGTGTTTTTTGTTTTTTTACCCAAACGACTGTATTGTTGTATTCTCTTTTCAAATTTCTTTCCACATTTCTGCTTTCTTTTGCAAATAAGTTGGCTATGAATCAAAATCAGTCATGAGGTGAACCTTTTACCTTTGTAAATAAATGTTTAAATAAGTCTTAGTCACTAAAGATTTAAAATAGGTCAGCTAAGCCCTCTTATATGTACAATGAAGCAGAAATGCATAAAAAAATGTAAAAACACAAAATGAATGTATTTGGGGGGAAATAAACATATTAATGCATAAATTATTTTAATAAAGAAAATGTAAAATTAACATAGGATCAAATAAAATAAAAAATAAAAAATATAAAATTTATTTTTGTGGCATTTAGTGGCATATTTACTGATTTTTAAATTTATTTATAATTTTAATCCTGTCAGTTTTGGCCCTCCATATTCATACATTGTTTTCAATAATGTAGTGACATTCATATTATTATGCACTTGATGGAAGTGACACTATAGACATTATGAATTGTAGTGGAGCTGAATGTTGGTGTAAATTACCTTGTAGAAAAAAGTGTCATAAATGTCACTATAACCAAATGGGCTGAATAAATAACTTAATTACTTTTTAGAATATGTATTTCAACTTATCTTATGCTGGAAAAATAAAAGTTGCAATAAATGTCTGGGTCATACCCATGTACAGTTAAACAAAATGTTGCTTTCTTGTATCCTCAGATCCATTTAATCCTTTGCCTGCCCCCCCTCCTAGCTGTAGAGAGACAAAACTGTGAAAAATTGCTACTTATGTTTATCCATCCTTGTGATAAAACCCCTGTTTATTTAAAGTTGCTTCAGTTTCAATTTTAAATAATGTGTGAATTGCTGGCAAAGCAGACTGGCTGATAACCAAAAGATGGGCAAATTGCCAAAATGCAAAAGTTGAATCTTCAAAAATCTGGTTAACTTTAGAGAGACTACATCCACCTTGTACATACAATCACTACTACACCTGTTCAACTGCTTGTTAATGCAAATATCCAATCAACCAACCACATGACAATACCTCAGTGCATTTAGGTATGAAGACATGTTGAAAACGACCTGCTGAAGTTCACACTGAGCAACAAAATGGCGAAGAAAGCTGATTTCATTGATTTTTACAGTAATTAGTGCCGGACAGGCTGCTCTGAGTATTCCAGAAACTGTTTATCTTTCCGCACAGTCATCTCCTGGGTTACAGAGAATGGTCTGAAAAAGAGAAAACATGCAGGAAGAAAACGCTTTGTTGGTGCCAGAAGATGGAGGACAATGGCCAAACTGCTTCGAGTTGAGAGGATGGCAACAGTAACTCAAATAACCGCTCATTGCAATAAAGGTTTGTAGAAAAGTAACTCTGAATGAACAATACATCAAAACCGGATAGGCTACAGCACCATAAGACCACACTAGAAACTAAGACTAATTCACACAGAATCACCAGAACTGAACATCAAAGACGGGAAAACCTGTCTGCTCTGATGAGCCAACAACTGCAACATTATGACAATGCCTTCTATTTATAAGAGACATCTAAGTTATTGTGGTAAATTACATATTACTGTTATATTTTAGGAGAAGCTGGAATGTCTTTTACTGTTATTATATCAAAAAAGCAACTGAGAGTGGCTTCAGGGTTGATTAAATGGAGCATAAATGTCTTCAAACATGCCCAAATTTGAGTTTTGCAAGCAGTGGTGCACAGTGTTTGGTGAGTAATCAAATCCTCATTGGCCGAATTTAGGACAGAGCTGTATGGTCTACTTTAAGAATGCCACATATCACAAAACGATGTCTATATTCTTTTTATTAAATGGATAAAACTTTAATATTTTATTAATTTCATCCCAGAGTTGTTTGCTTAAGTTTTTCATTTTTAAAAAATAAATCTATAGATTCCTGAAAAAAAGGACACGTGATCTTTCCCAGATTGAACCATTTTGCGTTTAAATTCCTTCACTGCCATTTGCCTCGGCCATACATGTAATAATCCACCGGTGCCGTAGGAGGCAGTATATTTAAATCGGCGACCACACGTCTACTCCACGGCAGCGGAGACGACGAAGTACAGTAAGAAGCTATGAAAGGTTATTCCATAGGTGAGTGTCCTGCAGCGTGTTAGAAAACTCGTAGTTAAGTTTCCATTCGATAAAAACTGTTTGTGCCACGTTTGATGGTCACGAAGCTCGGGCTGGGTCACGCTTAGGTTGAAGTAATGAGTCCACGAGCTCAGCGGAGAAAAGTAAAGCTAGCTAACCGCCCGTATCTGCGTCCGCTTGGCTTCAACTTTAACCTCAACATTGAGCGGAGACAGCAACCGGTAACAATTATGACATAAAAGTGTGTGAAAAGCAGGAGATGTATATAAAATGTGCCCGCTTTAGTGAGAACGTAACACATCCGAGGCCAGCAACGACCAAAGAACGTCCTTACTGAGTACTTCCGGAATAAACAAACGCATGTCGACTAAAATAGTAAAGCTTAACCATTGCTTTTAATCCGGTCAGTTAGTTCAAGAAGAAGCATTTGATCCTTTTCTTGTATTTATTAAACTAAAATAATTGAAATTAGTTTTTTTTTAGCCGAGCCTGAAATAAATTGATGCTTTTATTCTGAAGATTACAGTAAATCCAGCTGATCTAAACTTATGTTCAGAAGTTTAAAAAAGTGTGCGTAAAATTATGGATCAGGTGAGGAGGCAGATGTTCTGCTGTGTGAAGATGATAACACAACATATGCAGCCTGTCAGCCTCCCTAAACTTGTCATTATTCTAACTGAATTTGCAAAGATGATCCAAAACACACAAAAAATAAAGATGAATTCAAAGTGGTTCTATTTTTGTTTTCTAAATTTAATAGATGTTGTGATATCACATGATCATGAAGTAAAAAGACAGAAATCGTGAGTCCTGTTCTTGAACCGTGGCTCTTTATATTGAATCCATATTAATTAATTAACTGAACCTTTTTTTTGTTGTTTTGACAATCTCCTCCTTCCTTTCAGTGACTGGGTGGAGCACAAACATGCAGAGTTTGGTGGTGCAAGCTCTTGCCATGAGGCAGCTTGGAAGGTTGAGCCCTCGCCACCTGCTAGCTACTGGATATGGTCTGAGGCAGACCGAATGGTGTCCCAGGACCATTCATACACGCCAGCTGTGCGGCTACTCGGTCTTCCCTGTGACGCCTGGCTGTCACCGGCCTGCTTTCCGTGGAAGAGACGCTCTCAGGTGTTGGTCTGCTCATCATTTGAGGTTTAAAAGCAACAAGAAGAAAGGTGCTTCAAGTGCATATGATGAGGAGGAGGAAGATGAGGATGATAAAGACGCAGAGGACAGTGATTATGAAGATTCGGATCCAAATCTACCCAAGGACTATAAAGACATTGAGAAATATGTTCAGTCCTTCCGCTACGATGTCATTATAAAAGCTGGCCTGGATATGGCACGCAAGTGAGTCAGCATAAGAATCTAAGGCTGGGTGGGTGTTGATAAGTCATTAAGTTGCTGCTAAAGATAAACAGGATTTTGCACTCTTTCCTCCATACTTCATAATCAAAACAGGAAATAAGGAAATGGCGTGGAGAATCAGTGCCAGGGTGCTCTCAGTGTGCCACAAGCTGTTCTAGTGGCACACTGTGAGCTCATCAAGAAACTTTGTTGTTTTTCCCTTTAATCACTGTAGCAGGTTCTCCATAGTATCCACAAAGAGGGGACGACTTTAGTTCTACACAGTTAAGTTTGCTTCATCGATTGCCCAGCAATTGAGCATTACTGCCACTGTGCTTCACTCTTTGTCTTCCTCCTTCTCCAGTCTCACAACTACTATATAAGAAAAGAGAATAATTGGCAGCCACACGCCAGGTGTGCCTCTCTCCCCAAACTGGTCCCCCAATCTCAACCATCCAGCTCCACCTTTCCCTCGTGCATCTGAGGCACAGCCCATACCTCGATGCCACAATTGCATAGAAAGAAGGCACACACACAAAAAAACTGCAAACAGTAGGGACTTCCCAACATTTGTCACCATTATACCAGAGTCTAACGTGTTTCTGTCTTGTCACAGTAAAATTGAAGATGCGTTCTACAACAACAAGCTCAGATTTAACGGACAGAAACTCATCAAGAAAAGTAAAACGGTGAGTGCTGCTTGCTTACGACAGTGCACGAATTAGGTAATCCAGTGTTCCTCATATTTTGTTCTTTTCTCAGGTAAAACTCGGGGACACCCTGGACCTGGTCCTGTCAGAGAACCCAGAAACAAACACTGTTACATTGATGAGAGTTATCCTCAGAAGGGTTTTTACTGACCCTGGTAACACTGAAAAGCACAAAGTTGCCATAAGGCGCTGGAAATGTCTTGAGCTTCCCAGGGAGGAGGCCTTTAAACCTTGAATCTGCCTAAGACCGTACTGACTGTAATGCCATTGGCCTGTGAGGTCAACAGCACTGAGTGGCTCTCCAATGAGGTGGATGTAGAATGGATTACAAAAATGTTGTGCAGAGCTAACAACTCTCACTGTGCTTAAATGTGTACTTCGCCCTTCTATAGTGTGACACTCCCCCAATAAAGGTGCACTGTGAGGGTTTAGACTTCACCATTTGTGTCCTCGTGGATTTTTTTAAAATTCTTTTGGAAAGCTGTGTGGTGTTTTTCATGGTTTCAGAACTGAAACTGCCAACACTTAATATACAGGAATAAATAAATAACTTTAAATTTCTATTAAATATCCCCAAATATTAATAAGGAAATGTTATTGTGTATATAATATTATATACAATAGATTTTTTTTTTTTTTTTTTATAAGCATGAGTAAGAAATATCTGGCTTTAATCCTGTTGGCTGGAAAAAAAGCACTTTATATGATTCATAAAACAGGACCCCTTATTTGTACTTTTGGAGCTCTAATTTATTCTCTCTAACCTGAAAAAATGAGAACTAAAACTGTCTCATGCACATCTCAACATTAATTTAATGGAATAAAAGTGCAATTCATCTGATTATCTTATGTTAATGATGGAACTAAGAGCTGGATGCCTGTGGCTCAGGAGATGGAGCACCACCTGTCGCCCACCAGTCAGAAGGTTGGTGGGCGATAAGTGGGCTGCAAATCAGTGTCCTGGGGCAATGTTGTGAACCCTAAATTGTCCCTGGTGCATCTGCATGTGATAGCACTTAAAGGTATAGAATAAAGCACTGTGTGAATGTGGCTTGCAGTAGAAAGTGCTTTTGAGTGCTAAGAGCAGAAATGCTCCATGTACCACCGTGTAGCCTGCTCAGTCCAAGACACTCAAGTCTATTAACTTATAAAGTTGACATTTTGCTAATGTTATTAATACAGCAAGTCTTTCTGACCAAAGCACTTAAAGTGCACACATTTAATAGCGCTCTCTCTCTCTCACACACACACACTGCTAATTTGTCTGCAGAACTTGTGTTGCTTTCAACCTTAAATCACATTTTTATCTAGAAAAATCAGTCATCTGCTAACAGACTTAAACATGTCTCCAATGTCATGTGATTGGGTTGATTTTTCAAGTTGATAATCACCTTCAAGGGACCTCTTAGCCTAACGGGTAAGTGAAACCAGATAAAGAAAGGCTATGCTCTGTATGTTGAACTTGCTCTGGTGCGATTATGTAAAACATTGTGATTGTATGTCACATTTATAACTGTGGTTTTATTAGAAACTGGTTATCATGAGCCATTGTCATGTTAAATTATCTTTATAATATAAACTTCTATAAGAAGGCTTAACATAAGCACATAGTTATTAAAACAGTGGTGGCACGATGCTACATCAGTAACTGCGATGGAAATATATCACGTCCTTGTGATTTGATTTCTGTTCATAGAGCAAATGTGTGATCTATGCTGTTAGCTACTATCATTATTATTGTTATAAGGCTACAACATTTATCAACAGAGTATGTTAGAGAAGCTATGACATGTTTGGCTTATAAATAGGAGCGGTTGTAACTTTTATCGAACAATAATAAAGACTACATAAACTAGAACATCTACTGCTGTAGCCAAAAAGGTAAAATATGAGTAAGAATACTACTAAAGAAACTCGCAACAGCTTGGCTTCTTCCTACAGAGGACAGTGTGTAGAAGTTCAACAATGCGATTTCAGCTTATATACTGTGCAACTGTTTTTATGACAGAAAGTGTTGGGTAACTGCAGAGTACTGTAACTAGGACACAGTGCTTGACCTCTTGGCCTTTTTAAGAATGTCACACTTCTTGCGATTGGGGCGCCGGCAGCGTTCGTCAATGCTTGGCACACATTCGTAGTGCCACACCTCCTCCATCTTATCCACAGGATACACGGCTTCCACGTAGTGACGGATCAGTCTCAGTCGAACAGGGTCAAGCTGCTTCTTATTGCAGGCGCCTGAATGGTTGTACTGCAGCCGCAGGTTCTCGTGGGTGAAGAGCTCGGGGAAGAGGCGCACCAGCAAGCGGGCAGCAAAGTTCCCAACAGAGAGAGACTGCTGGACAATTTCCCGTACCTCGGTATCAGAGAGTAGGTAGACGGAGGGAACAAGGAAATCTGGTTTGGACACAGTCAGCTCCTCAAGGGGGATTTTGCAGAAGTCTTTGCTACTTTTCTCGGGAGGTAAAGAGGGAATATCTGGATCCTGTCTGCCGTTATCAGGATGGAGCTGGTTCAGCTGGCAGAGAAAGTCCTGCTCTGTCTCCTGACCGTACACTTTGCGCTGCTGCAGGTAAGATCTCCTCTGCTCCGTGTCACGTCTCCTGCACCGCTCGTCAAGTTTGCCAACAA